TCCTTAACAGCAACCCAGTAGCGGCAGAAGCCTGGTGGAGGTGCCGTCGCCACGCCCGCCAGGCAGAGCAACGTGTGTCTGCCGCAAGACTGCGCCTTAGGTTCCTCCAAGGCAGCTCCAAGGCCTCACATATAGGGTTTAGGGATTTAGGGTTATGTTGGGGGTTATTTTGGGATAATGGAAAAGAAAATGGAAACCACTATAATGGGTTATATTGGGGTTATATACAGGGTCAGGGACATCTGTCGCGGCTACAAGGTGACCGCTACACATACTGAATGAATGCTTCAGCAGGTGAGCCTGATGCACCGACCAGATCCTCAAACCACCGTGCCAACTGCCCCTTTCGGAGCTGGAAGACGTCAGACCGCTGCATCAGCAGCAGCTGTGGGTCAGCTTTCCGAAAGTCCTCTCAGTCATTACCAGGATCCCGTCAAACAATCTCAGAATCTGACACAGCACCAGCTCAGGCAACTGTGGCAGTACAGAAGCCGTGCTATGGCAGTAATCAAACACATCTGTATTAGTTACACCTGCTGCGGGGGCGGCACAACTCTCACTAGCCTTTTGCTTGCATCCATCATGCAACCCAACAGATAGACACATCAAGGGCTGGATCCAAATCGACAATCCCAGAAATATGGGGATACATATAGGGGTTATCCTAGATTGTATTGGGATAATGGAGAAGACAATGAAAACTACTATTGAGGGTTTAGGTGTTAAGTGTTTTATGGCTTAAGGATTATGATGATGCTGACGATGATGATGACATGGGTTGCATCCCCGCCATTCTTATAATGTTCATTGGCAACCATACCTTTTTCTGGTCTATCATGAAGATGACTCTAATCAGGATTGCCCCGAACAGCAACCAAATGTATAGGTATGTCAATGTCTATACACAGCTACCTTCATCTACCCTCACGGCTACTACACTCTTTAGTGCTGTTGGTGAAGGCGCTGCTGCACCACCACCAGCCTCCTAGCTCTGGGGATTTACATGAGTGTAGTAACCCAAACCCAAGAACCTAAACTAAACCATGGACACAAAGCCCTCAACACTAGACCCGAACCCTGAACCCTAAGCCCCAAACCCTGAACCCTAGCCGGTGCCCATGGCTTAGTCCTATGGGCTACCCCTTTGGCATATCAAACCCCTCCTCACTGTGTTGAACCCGAGCTCGCACCACCACAGAGAACCTCGGCTCTTGGCGTTTAATGGGGAAGGAAAGGGAAGGAAATGTAGGTACTATTCTAGGGGCTAGATTGGAATTTTCGTAAGTAGGAGCATGAATAGTGGGGGAATAGGGCTTGGTGGTACATACTACTATACTTATGTATGGAATGTCAGGGGTTATTGCTTTCTTAAAAGATGTCTGCTAGGCAACTACACGAACGCTCGCCAATGGGTGTAGATGAAGGCCGGTTCATGACAAAACCAACCCAGACACGGTCATGAGTAGGAAATTAATGGACGAATCCTTAGGCATCTGCCAGCTTCAAACCTCTGGACCCCGTATGGGTACCAAGTAAAGCACGGCACAAAGGACTCGGGGGTCCATAACTTGGAAACTACCCCAAGCCCTAAACCCTAAACCCCTAAAGCCTAAACCCTCCCAACTTATTCGGGAAGCAGGGTCTGCAACGGAGGCAGCGATGTATCGCTACGGTCCATCTCTCCTGCCGGAAGGGCAAAGTATGCACGGTTGGGGCTCATTGATGATCGCGAGGCCCCTATGGACCAACTTACCCAAAGTTTTGTAAACACACCGGAGCCTACCCAAAGCCTTACCTCATGTCTTAGCCGAGCCTTTCCCCATCAGGGGAAAGGAAACTATCCACTCAAGGATGACTACAGTGTTCCAGAACTGCTGGAAAAGACGCGATATAAGAACACTCAAGCCAACTAGCTGCGTGCCACATAGTCCATGTGCAACCTCAATGAGTCAGTCTACGTAGCCTTGACTGACTGTCCTTCTTCTTCTACTGCCAGCACCACTACCGTTACCACAGAGGCCACAAAGCCTTGCCGAACTTGCTTGCACTAGACAATCCCCAATCCTGAAAGACCATTTATGCAGTTGCAGGGCGTTGGAAGTCTAAGCAGAATAAGAGCAGGACAGTAGCCATAACTCTACGAAAAAAACTGTGACAGCGCTACCCGTCGCCATCATACCACTTGCACAACCATGTTTGCATCCGGAACCCCAAACTCCGACAAAAGCCTGAATCTGAACCCTGACCGTGCACCCCGAAACGCTAGTACGCCAGACGGCCAATTGCGAGTGTAACTACAAGTGGGTTGCTGTGGAGGAACTTAATATGGGCCACTACATTGGGGAAACTCTATTAGTTACTATATATACCCATTATGATAACTTTGTTTAAGTTCCTTAACAGCAACCCAGACATACCATAAACAACGCAAGACCCCTAGGGATCCTGATGCCTAGCTCCTCATATTCCAAGGCTCTACTGGGGAGGGGACTACAAAACATGGATATCTACAAGTTTAAGTCTTGATATAACTCCTGTAGAGCGACGTGGACGTCCCCTTAAGGCTGATCACCATGGACAAGAAAGACAACGAAAGGGCACAATCTCTGACTGAATGCAAGCTGGAGAGTCATCCTCCTCATGCAGTTGTTTCTTCTGTCTGTGCTGGCGGGGCTCACACCAGCGACCAATCCACGCAAAAGCCTGAGCCAAAAAACCTGAAGCCTAAAGCCCTAACACCTGTAAACCGAATAATCATAGAATTCAGGACCCGAAGCGTACATAACCCCATTAAGTCCTAATCGCTCCCACCTGCGCTTCCAGCAAGTTGTTCCAAGAAGTCGTCGGCCCAATCTAGGAGCTGGATGCCTGGGCAACACGCGAGGGTCCATGGTACGAATAACAACTGTAATAAAAATTAATCAGAAAAGTAACGATAGTAGCAATACTCGCAATATTGGTACTTGCAACTGCCGCAATACAGAAATTACATTAGTCGTAGTAAGTCTGCGAGGTAGACAAAGTAGAATGACTAGACTACATATAAAAAATTATAGCAGTACCCTTTCACCGGTTTCCATGTTGGTTTGGGGGGGAGTGCAGGCGCTTTTTGGCTTCAGTCGTTTAGGATTGAGGTTTAATATCTGCGCTGTGCCAAAGGACCCCCGCTTGCAGAGACTGTTGGGACCTTCAAAGGGCCATGCTGGGGTGCTCTTTGCGGAAGTGGCCCAATAATGAGAACCCTCCTGCAGTTCTGTAAACCTCAAACCTCTCAACCCCAAACCCAAGCCCTGAACCCAAACCAACAACCCTGAACTCTGCAAACGTCAAACCCGAAATCCACTTTTCAAAACAACTAGAACTACGAAATTATCAGCATAGCTACAAGAAGTCCAATAAATACTGAATATATAATTGCCATCCCGGTCGAGGCGCTCTGTGATGGGGCACTTGGTAGGCACCTTTGCTGACGAGGCATTTGCTTCAGGTCTAGGAAAGCCCTAGATGAGGGCCTTTGAAGGGGAGGGACTATATAGGGATAGATAGTGGCCATATAGGCATACATAAGGATTTATAGGCAAGATTTCAGAGTACCCTTTCAGGTGGTCCCTATAAGTTGGACTAGACTATTTGGAGGTCTATATTTAGGACCCGTTACTTAGGGGAAATACCATATGGAACATCCCTTGAAAAGGTGTTATGTGGAGACAAACCAGGATATATAAGGTACATATAAACATGTAAATATACACATATACATATTACTCCATGTTTTCGGGCATACTTGGCGGATCTTCGTAAGGCATGGACGAACGGATCCCAATCGCAGCTTCTAAATAACACCCATAATATGAGAGCTTCTATTGCCTTGTACATTCCTTCTTTCCCATCTAAAAGATAGCGAGCATAGAGCAAGACCCAAACTACATCTGGTGCAGAGTTGTGGAGTTTGGGGACACAAAACCGCTGCGACACTTACAGCCCAAACCTTCAACCTGTACAAGTCCAAACATTGCAAACTACAAAAACACGTCGTCAACACCACACACTGGAACCAAACAATAAAAACAACACAGGAAATCCCAAAACCGCAAAGCACAAGCTGAAAGCTCCCAAAACTCCTTCAGCACAAGAAGAAAAGCTTAAAATCCCATGTCAAGAAAAGCCTTAAACCCTCTGTCAAGAAAGACCTGAAACCCTCAGTCAAGAAAGGCCTAAAACCCTCAGTCAACAAAAACTTAAAACCCTAAACCCTACACCCTAAACCCTACACCCTAAACCCTAAATCCTTGGACAGCCCAGGTACATGGTCAGTGCTTCCAAGGCAGCCGCCACGGCCTTGGCCGATGCCTCCTTCTCGGAGCTCGAAAGCTGAGGCCACAGCGGGAGCACCAGCCTCCTGAGGTTGATGCTTGTAGGGTTTAGGATGTAGGGTTTAGAGTTTAGGATTTAGGGTTTAGGGTTTGGGGCTTAGGATTTAGGATCTAGGGTTAGGGTCCACTATAGTTAAACAAGAACTAGGGTGGAATAATGAAGGTAATTCTGCAGGCTTCTACACGACAGGGATTGCAGTGTTGCAGTCCAACATCTGAATATTGTTCTTCTCATGCACCAACGCGAGCCTTCTCGCA